GAGCTTCCCTAAGTGGATGTAAAGACCGCCTTTCTAAATAGTGAATTAGAGGAAGAAATTTATATAGACAACCTAAAGGTTTTGTTTCCACAGGAATGGAAAACATGGTGTGTAAATTAAAGAAGTCAATACATGGATTAAAATAGGCTTCTAAACAATGGTATCTCAAGTTTAATAATACCATAACGTCATATGATTTTGTAAAAGTGCTATTGATCGGTGTATCTACATGAAGGTCAATGAGAGTAAGTTTATAAGTTTAGTAAGATATTTTAATGATATTCTGTTTGCAACTAATAATGTTGTCATGTTACATGATGTAAAGAAGTTTCTCTCTAACAACTATGAAATGAAAGATATGGGCGAGACATCTTATGTGATAGGAATAAAAATATTCTGTAACATATTACAAGGACGGTTGGGATTGTCTAAGAAATCATATATTAACAAGGTATTAGAGAAATTCATAATGGAAAAGTGCTTTGTAGGGATTGTTCTAAAACAAAAGGATGACAAGTTTAATCAAATACAATGTCCCATAAATGAATTGGAACGTAATAAGATGAAATTTATTCCTTATGCATCAATGGTTAGGAGTTTGATGCATGTCCAAACATGTACTCAACCTGATATTAGATTTTTCGTAGAAATATTGGGTTGATATCAAAACAATACTGGAATAGAACACTGGAAAGCTACAAAAAAGTTCTTAGGTATTTACAAGGCACAAAGGATTACATGCTCACGTCTAGAAGGTCATATCACCTTGAAATGATTGTCTATTCGGATTTAGATTTTGCTGGATGTGTGGACTCAAGAAAGTTCACATATGGATACATCTTTCTTTTGGCTGAAGGAGCAGTATCATGAAAAAATGCAAAACAATATGTGATTGCAACTTCTACCATGGAAGCTGAATTTATGGCATGTTTTAAGGCCACAATTTAAGCATTATGGTTGCAGACCTTTACTATAGAGTTTGTTATTTTTAGTAGTATTGCTAGGTCAATTGGGATTTATTATGATAATTCTACAGTTATTTTCTTTTCAAAGAATGATAAATACTCGAAAGGAGCAAAATACATGGATTTGAAATATTTATTAGTTAAAGAGGAAGTACAAAACACAAAGAATGTCAATTGAGCATATTGACACAAACTTAATGATAACAGATATGTTAACTAAAGATTTACCACCCAAGACATTCATTGGCCATGTTGAATTGAAAGAATGAATATAATGGATAAGTCCTTGTTAACAATGTAGTTGGTGTGTGTGTATATATATATATATATATATATATATATATATATATATATATATATATATATATATACATACATTATGGTTGTAATACTTGTATGTTTGACACTTGTGATTTCTATTAGAGATGTTTTCGTTTATTACGCCATTCACATTATTGTTTTATTTAGTGAAATGCAAGAATGTATCTTTGAAAGGAAATTAAAGATATATATTACAGTTTCATTAAACTTAAGTTAGATGATTTGTGGTACATGAAAAGAATTTTGTTATTAGTAATGACAAAACAAGTTAGCCCCCAACTCGCTATAAATATGACAGGGCGGATTGGTGCTTTGGTGCCACTGCCACTGTCCAGGCGCGGTTCGCCTAATTAATAATTTTTTTATTATAATACGAGTTAGTCATAAAAATAATATATAAAAAGAGAATAATGTGTAAAATTTGTAAAAAGAGAATTAAAAAAGTCTTATCCTCACTCGTTATAGGAAACATTTTCCTTACTCAAATACAAAATCCTCTCCTCTTCTCCTAGTTGTTTATCATCTCCTCCTCGTTCATCCCGAGCATTGATTGTTTTTATCCTTATAACTTGAATTAAAGTGGTAAGAATTACTTAATAGGAGAACAATATGAAGTTTTATCAAATAAAAAATATATAACTATTTGATTTTTTTCAATATAAAATATATAAATTTTACAAGTTTTGACGTTATTTATATATATTTATTATTATATAAAATTTATTATTGTTATAAATTATAATTTCTTAAAATAATGTGTTGATTTATATTATTAACTTGAAATATATACGTTGAATTATTACAAATATAATCTTATTATTAAACTTATTGAAAATTGATTTAAAAAAATTATTTTTTTTAAATTATAGTGAGCTAGCTTCGCTAACTCGCCAATTTGTCTTTTGGCGGGATGAACCAAGACCTACAACCTGTCATGACTATAGTGAGTTAACATGTGACGCCTATTTTTGACGTGTCAAAGGCGAGTCAAAACGGGTAATGACTTGTTAAGTTCAATGTAGGTGTGCACTTAAATTTTAATGTTGAATCTTCAAGTCATTAAATAAGTCAAGTGGGAGAATGTTAAATTATTTTAATCTAATATTAGCTCATGTAGTTTGTAGAATAAATTTAATGTAAAAAATTTTAATGTAATGATTAATAGATTATAAATGTATTAAAGTTATGAGAATTATTTTAGAATTATTAATATTAATTTCTTCTCTTCTCATTTCCTTAGGGATATTATGATATTTTAATAAATATTTTAAAATAATACCTAGAAATTACTTTCACATGTGGAAGATTAAAAGTTAAGTTGGTGAACTGGTAAATGAATTTGACATTAAAAATAACTGTACTAAGCATATTTTATATTATCAAGAAAACTATAAAATAAAATAAAAGATAATGTTTATCAAGATATATTTTAGGACGAATTCAATTAAGTTATTGAATATTTTTAATAATATATTTGAGAATCATTAATCCTAAAATTCGTACTAAATATGATAATTTTTTTAATTGAATTAGAATATTTAGAAATACAAATTTTCGTTCACCCAGTTAAATCCCATCCACCAATCAACATCCCATTCACCAAACAGCTAAACTTGAGAAAAATTTGTGGAAAGTATCAAATGAAGTACATTATCCAATCAACACAAAACAAACGGATAATATGTGCACACATTTGCCCCCACAAAGCATGCATCAACCACATGCTCCCATCCATGCATCATTTTTCTACTCTCCATCGCGTGAAATCTTAATGTTTCCTTTAAAACTTAACCTAGAATGAAATTCAAATAAACAACTAATACTTAACATTTATATTTACGTGAGCATTCAAATAAATAATTTCCATTAGACATGGTTTTATCAAAATAGGAAGAATACATACAATGTGTTGGCATTGCGCGTCTGTGAGAGAGGAGGAGAATATGAACCTAACAAGAAGAAACAAGAACATGGAGAGGTGGTTGTCGTGTTACAAACCGAGGAGAATGAAGGTTTTTTGTTTGATTTGGAAGAATGTAGGTTTTGACTTTGGTAGATGTTGTCGGATGCCGTTTGTCACACAATGCTTTTCTCTCTTCGACGGTTGCCGTTCCAAGTTCCAAAGTCAAAAAGTTTAAAAGACGGCTTGCGCTGTATCCTTCTCATCCACTAAATATTAAGATGCTCTTATCCCTCACAAATCAAACATTTTGTCTTAATTATGCTCCACTCAAACTTAAACCATGTTTTTTTGGTTCAACTTCCCAATCTCATTTTTATTGCAATGTAAATTGCAGATGAAACTTTGATAAATTAATCTTTGACTTCACATTTCATTTCTATTTACTCTATATATTTTTTGTGTGACTATGGACCTACACATATGCGAAAAAAATATAAGAAAAGAGTAGACCAGAGGCATGGGTCGAAGTGATAGAAACTATGCATAGAAATTGAGTGGCTTTGGTGCTCCACTCCCTCCAGCAAATTCCAAACACAAGGTCCCAACACACCCACACTCTCCACACAACACACGGGGTATATATATTTCCACGTACATCGCAACTTTAATTACCAAATCAATCTTCAGAAAACAGAAACCAAACCACCCTATCCGATTGGTCTCTCATTTTCAACTTTGAATTCCCTTCTCCTCACACGAACAGTAGTAGACGTAGTTGATTTTGGTCCGTGTATGCAACGAAGGAGCCACGCTCGAACACGATGCCCCTAACCACCCAAATACTCGTCATCGCATCATTACATAACACAGAAACATAATATCATCTCTTTTCCATTTCTCACTCTCTTCTCTTCTCACACAGTCTCTCTCGATGGCTTCGTCTCTTTCCCCTTCTCCCTCTTCCCTCGACCAAACCCTTCGCGACGTCGACGACTACGTTTTGGTCAGTCCCTCTTCTCTCCCTCGCGCATTGCTTCTCCGCGATCACTTCACCCTTTTTATGTTTACACTTTAGGTCTCGTTTCTCGAATGTTCTTCCATCAATGCGTGCGTGTGTGTGTGCGTCTTTTCTTGTTAGTGCTCGTGATTTTGGGAATTCGATTAAACGCTAGTGGAGGATTGGTGATTTTATTTTGGTTGCTGTTTTGATTTTCGCTTCGTTTGTTTGTTTTTACTGCACTGTGTAGCTGTGCATAGCTTTTTTCTTTCCAATTTGTTTCTTTCGTTTGCCTCTTTCCTCTTTTTTGCGTCCTGTTGCTGCGAAGAATATGCCAAAAGACAAGTCCTCTTGTTTCCTCAATTTACTTTTTTCCCTTGAACTCTTAATTCTTAGGTGGTGAATCCGAGGACAGGAAAAGACACTCAAAATGTGTGATTTAGTTTTTATTTTTTACCGCTTTCTGTATCCCTAGTTGATGATTTAAAGCGGGTGGTTTTGTTGATATACTTCGGTTTCTGTTTTGAAAAACATTGGTTCCTTCATCGCATTCTTGGTGTGTGGTAATGACAGTGTTTTGAATGAGTTTCGGATAAGCAAATCAGATGTTTTGTTTTCTTTTTTTGATATTGGTCTGTTAGGATTGAGCACTTGTAGAAGTAGAAAATCAGAAGGTATATGAATTAAGTGAAAATCAACGTATCATTTCAGTTACTTTTTGGAGAAGTTAAATGGGAGAATTCCTCGTGCATACGTTGATTTTAGCTCAAGAGAACCTTAATTCATTTTAATTGTTTGTCTCCTCCTTCTGTGAATGCTTATTGAAATTCATCGAATCAGGACCATAGGATTAGTTGATCATTGGGTATTATAAGTTTGATTCCAGTGACACTTCAAAGCATTCAAAATAAATGGTGTAAATTTATTATTCTCACCGATTGATATTTTTGTGGAGAATCTAACATAGGGATGTGAACTCTGAACTTTGGTTGGGTTGCAGGAAAATAACACACTACATTATGTTTATGAGCTTGTGCAGAATGGCAATGCTGCGTTTCGAGAGAACAGAATGGAAGAGGTTAGTGTGCTAATATATACACCTTTTTGAGGAGGGGTTGGGTAGGGGGTTCCGTTGACTGTTCTTAATACAATGTTAAATGAAAATGTACGTTCATTTAATTCCATGTAAACATGAAATGTATGTAATACTTTATTGAGTAATTGGGGGGGGGGGGGGTTGCAGAATAATACCTTTTGTTAAATTATTTTGTCATGTAAGATTAAACTTTTTTTAAATATGCAATGGAAATGAGAATATTGATTTATCATAGCTTTATGTCAAGCAATTGGGAAGAATGGATATTGTTCCATCCCAGTGTTGTTCTAAATTTCTTCATTCATGCCTTGTCTTTATTTTATCATTTTATTCTGAATAAAGGTTTTTATTGTTGACCTAATGATATTGTTCTGCTGTGTCTATTATTCTTAGTTTGGTTGTTAACTAGTTTATGAACTAGATCCTACTATTGCTATTTAAATATTACTTAGATATGCTGTTTTTATATATATTTTTTGTTAAGTTTTAAATACACACATATGATTTCAGTATTTTTTTCAGTTACATCTTTGTAGAGCTTGATTCACATGTCTACTGGCCTGTTGGATGGAAGTTAATTGAATTGGTATTGGCAACAAATCCTGCATAATAATAGTACATAATTAGTCCATTATCATGACAAAGAGTTAGTTCTTCACTTTTAACTCATGCTTTGCTTGGGAAACATCAAGTGTCATCGTTCAGTCTATTCCATTTTTTGGGTGTTTCTTAATAATGCTTTATTCATGGAAAACACTTCTCAAATTTGGACACAGATGCAATTCTCATTCAATACTAGCCTACTTGCAGAACTTAATAAAGTGATGTTGTGGAAGTATTCCATATTCAATGAAATTTGACACTAATACAATGTCTTTCAAATGTTTGCCTTATTATTTCAGGCAATCAACTATTACTCAAGAGCCAATAACATCAAATCAGGTGATCCAATCATCCTCAGCAATCGAAGTGCAGCTTATATTAGGTTAAGCACAGTTTAATAATTTTCTTTTGAATTGCTCGTTACAAACATAATTGCTTAATCATCTTCCAAATAATTTTGCCCAGTTTTGTATAGTTCAGTGGTCTCATGGCAATCATGATATTTTCCAATCAGGATTAGCCAATATTTCATGCGCAGAGCACCATCATCTTCGGAATGTAGGCCATTGAGTGGGCTTGAACCCACAACACTTGGTGAAGTATGTCCATATGCATAATTTTTATCGAGTGGATATATTATAATATTTCTAAATTAATTTGTCCATCTTAAGTTGATCCTTGATAACCATTTCCAGCTGGCTTTGAAGGATGCTGAGAAGCTTGTTGAACTTCAAAGTAATTCAGCAAAATCATATATTTTAAAGGCCAATGCTCTTCTCCTGGTAAGGCTCTCGTGCTTTGCTAACCAGTTAATCTCTCTTTTGAATTTGTGGGGGTAGCCCCTGATGTTTTTATGAAGTATATTTATCCTTTAATAAACTGTGTGCTGTGATTCTAAAGATGCCTATTTACCTTGATATATTTAATTAATGTGCTTTTCTTATGTTCTAGGTCTTCTATGGTTAATATAGATAACTTTATAGATATTATTATCCTTCATTGTGAGTTTGAACTTTGAAGGTGTGCAAGTGAACCTGCATAGTTTGTGCAGAGCCAGATATGATAAGTAACCTCTATTGTGTTTGTGCTTTAGAATTTTTAAGTTTCTATATAATACAAGAAATTATGTCAACTTTTGTGTGTTTGCCCATGGCCAGTTGCGTATCCTTTCTTAAGTCCTAACATGTGCCTCTCTGCCCTACTTTTATATTATTATGACGGTGTTCATTTTGAATGTAACTTGATATTATATTGTATTAAATTTACAGTTAGAGAAATATGAAAAAGCCCGGGATGTTATTCTTTCAGGCCTTCAAGTTGATCCTTTTAGGTATTACACATTTGCAAGTCTTGCCTTCTTTTATGTGTGTGTGTGTGTGTGTATATATATATATATTTACTTGTTCATATTTATTTCTATTCTGTATTCCTGTTTTCTAAATTTAGATGGAATATTTGAGTATAAAGCTTTTGCCATAGTAAATTATTGTAGTATATCACTACTCACTAGTTTTATTTATTTTCCTTTCTTTTAATATCATGTAGCAATTCTCTTCGGGCTTTGCTTCAAAATTTGGAAAGAGTTTCATCTAGCTCAACAGGGATGAGTACACATGGACAACCAGAACGTAATGATGATTTTGATTGCACTCTTTGCCTGAAGTTACTGTACGAACCTGTAACAACCCCTTGTGGACATTCTTTTTGTCGTTCATGTCTATTTCAGTCAATGGATCGTGGTTAGTGATATCTTCTGTTGATTATTTTTTCTACAGTAACATATTCTATGCTATGTTGATTCTTGTCCTCATGTGTTAGGAAACAGATGCCCATTGTGCAGGACAGTTCTGTTTATTAGTCCCAGAACATGTTCCATAAGGTGGGTTGTCTATAGACTCTACAATATCCTAATGTCATATGGTAAACCGCATGAAAGCTGAGTTACTTTTTTTTTTTTTTTTTTTTAGTTTATAGTGTAAAAGTTGGTCACTGTTTTAACTAAACGCAGTAGGAGGTTGCTTTCTTAATGAGATTGAGACAATGTTTGCCCCAATTTAATAGGATAAAAAAATACATGTTTCTAACACCCTCTCTGGTGATTGGTGAAGCTCTTTGTTACCTATAACAGACAATTCCTTTGGGCTTATGAGTATATTTGTTCATTGGAATTCAGTTTAATCTTCAGATATTTTGGTGAAATAAAATTTGTACTCTTTTAATATGTTCTTGTCAATTGTCAATTGTTTCTAGTGTGACATTGAAGAACATCATACAAAAGAACTTTCCCGAGGAATATGCTGAAAGAAAGCAAGAGCAGGATGGTTTAATCAATGCTGGTGTTGATTTACTCCCTCTTTTTGTCATGGATGTTGTCATACCATGTCAAAGGTTTCCACTCAATATATTTGAACCTCGGTATAGACTCATGGTGAGTTGGTAACAGATGTTAATAGTCCCTAGAAAATTTTGAATCTTAATATATCTTGAATGTGCCAGTTAGTGATTAGTTTTCTTATGGTTCATCCTTAAGAAACATTAAGTGGCATCTGCCTAATGTTGTTGAATCATTGGGACTTGGGAGGGAGGATATACCAATTAAACTGTTGGATTTATTATATAAATATTTGTAAATATATAATAATTATTTTTCTTGAGTAGTAGTGATCAACGCACTGCTGAGAATTCTCCAACCAGCGTCCACCTATCACACTTGATTTTAACCAGAAGTGTAAATATGGTTAACCCGTTTTCCTTAAAATGGTTAATTTGTGATTGTAGACAATTATTGATTCGAGCTTGATTAGTGGTGGAACTAATTGTTACATGTCTCATAAGTTGTTAATAGTGTCATGAGGTTATTGAAACGTCTAATGGTATTTAACTCTGTCTTACCAGTGGTTAAGAGTAAATGAATGTGCATATACAATTATCAAATTGTATGAGTTATGAGGTTATTAAAATGTCTAATGGTGGATAACTTTGCCTTAAAAGTGGTAAAAAGTAAATGAATGCATTTAAGTTATTAATGACTGGACAAAACCAAAAAATAACTCATGTGCAAAATTATAGAAGGTCCCCTTTATGATAAAACAATTTCATCGAGTTGAGTATGGTTGTATGGGTGATAACATTTAATGAAGTAAGAATATCAATTGTTAAGGTTCCAACATAAAACCAATTAACAATATGAGGAATAGTCTAACATGTATTTAAATTATATTACATGACATGAGACAGGTGATGTGGGACTTCTAACATGCCCCCTCCAACGAAGCCTGTCAGACCAGACAAATGGTATTTTTGACCTACAATAAAAAGACAACTCTAGGTTCAAGACAACAACCTGAAAGAAGTTAGACTTTAACTCTGATACCATGTTAATGTTACAATATAAAACCAATTGGTAATATGAGGAATAACATAACATGTATTTAAATCATACCACATGACATGAGACCGACGATTTGAGACTTCTAACATTAATGAACCCTATTATCGAAATTTCTCAAGATACCCTTTTTAAACTCTAGAATCTACTTTTTAGATAAACTCTTATCTTACAAACTAAAATCAAAGAATTAGTATATCTTATTCATTCAAAATGGGTATGGGCTAGGGATATGAGCCTATAATCTAAAATCTAATGATCAAGTCAATTCTATAATTATAAATTTCTTTCATATCCAACCTGATTGTATGCAATTACTGATTTGTATTTGGGTAGTGGTTGTTAAATATGCCTCGCAAGTGATTACTGGTGTTATGAGTTTATTGAAATGTTTAATGGTGTTTTACTTGGCCTGGCGGATGCTGGTAGTCATTTATAGTAGGATGTTCTTTTTTCTTTTCTTTTATACAATTTGTGACATCATATTTGCAAAGAATATATGAAGAAAATTAACATTTTTATGTAAAAATATTCTTATTCATATAAAATCAATTTTCATGAAACAGTTTCTAGTAATGTATTATAATGATGTTTCGAATTACAAAGTTTGTATTAGGGATTGACTACTGTGAAGCACTTAATTTGAAAGTTTGAACTTAGGGCTTTCTTCACTAGTTAAAATAAGGGTAAATAACAGTAACCTTTGTAATTTCACACTTTCTCATCTTACATCCTATACATTCTTTTCTTCTGTATCATAAACCCTCCTGAAGTTTTGGTTAAACTGAAATTGCTAAATTATCTTATCTTTGCTTAACTTACCTATTGGTTTAGGCTTGTTAACCATGGTTTACTTGTGAATATAACAATGTTCTCTTTAACCCGTTTTTGAGGAGTTCAGTTGTGCAAAATTTATTCAAGGGTGTAAAGTGTACTTACCCTTTAAATAATCATATAGCAGTTTGTGGTCTTAATATATCATCCTTCTCTGTTACAAAACATCATTACGTGTTAGGATTCTTGAATTTTCTTTAACCCGGTCTGGTTAAGCTAATTGACCTTACATTTATAGCACAATATTGCAACACTTGGAGGGCAGCGAGTGGTCTGGTAACTAGTTATATGTTGTCTATGAGCTATGTATATCTTTCAGATTTGTGCAGAAGCTGTCAGTAAACACTACTCTGGGATTTATTTGGCATATTTAATCCATTAACTTAATTATAAATGGTACTAAACTACTAATATCAGATTGCATGAAACTCTGAATGTCATCACATCTCTGATTTATACATTATATATTTTTTAAATAAAACAGGTAAGAAGAATAATGGAAGGCAATCATCGAATGGGAATGGTATATTATTTCAGTTATCCCTTTTTCCCTTTTTTGCTATATAGCACTGACCATTTCTATCTGTTACTGTGTGTGACTAGTCTTTTGATCTTGTAGGCTATACTTGATTCTTCAACAGGTTCCTTAGCTGAGTTTGCCTGTGAAGTGGAAATCACCGAGTAGGTGCTTGGCATCCTTTTCATGTGAAAATACAAAATCTCAAACACACATATATCCCTTTCCCCTAATGAAATTCCTTCTCATGTATGTCACTTGCTTGAAATAAGTTTTTTTTTTTTTTTATGTTGTAGGTGTGAACCACTTCCCGATGGTCGTTTTTATATAGAGGTGAAAATTCAACTGATTTATGTATTATTTCTTTGCTCTAGTTTTAACACTTAATTGGTGAAAATGAAATTTGGAAGTATTCTTATGTCTTTCTCTCAACTTTCAATCACAAGAAACTACTCTCTTTTATCTTTCTTGGTGCGATTTCTTTTTCTCTATTTCATAAGAATATTTCTCTGTAGTGATTCTCAATATGGCGAGATTTACAAAATATCAAACAATTTCTGTATCTTTAAATGCTCTTTTTCCAAACCCAAAAACTACAAGGTCTAGGGTTTTTTCTTGAAACAAAGACAAGGAGAAAAATATTTGAGTGAAAACTTGTTTGGGAGAGAGTCCCCAGCCCTATCATATAAATAGAAGTTTTGTGCTAGACATCTCCCATAACTAAGGAAAGAACCTTAAAAGATATTCACTCTAATTACTATAAAATAAAATTAATAGAATATTCTAACACAATTTCAACCTATATCTCATTCTCAATAATCTTAACACAATCTCAACAATATAATTTCATTCAAGGTTATTAGACTCGAGAGTCTACGTAGGCTCGTGGGAGGTCTGGAGACTCAACTCGTAAAAGTTTTTTTCATATGAAAAATACTAATTTAACAAAAAGTATAAACATAATAATATCAATTCCATATTACTTGAAATAAATAAGTTCATACAATAATACACCGATCAAATATACGTTCTTAAAGTGATAAGATAACAATGAAATATCTACAAAACACAAATGTTATCAAGTTTATATGTCTTCATCTAATCCTTTAATGAAATAATCTCCCCAGTGATCTTCATCACCATTTTCATTATCGCTATCATGTTCTTCCTCAGATGAGAAGTGTGCATTAACATTAGGATTAAAAACTATATTATCAAACTCTCAAGTACATCTAAAGTTGGATCATATGAATTTGGTCCAACTAAGTCCGCATTTCCACCATCACCTTTCACTTGAGTTTGCTCAACCTCAACATTATCTCCCTCTTTAGTTATCCATTCACCATCTGACTCAATATCATCAAATGAGAGAGTAATACTTTTCCTAATTTTTTTATTTTTCAATTTCTAGTTACACATGACATAAACCAAATCATTCATATTTTTCTAGTGCAAACAGTTTCTTCTTGTATGAATCTATAATTGAAGAATCAATTTTAATAAATATATAAATCAAACCAAGATAATTAAAAAACACAAATAATTATATAAACTTAAATTACTATTTCAAATGAGCTCCAATTATGTTCATACCCATAAGATCTACAAGTCAAACTCAAAACTCGAATAACAAGCCTCTTCAACTCTGGAGTTTCATCCCCAAAAATCTCCTACCGCTCTCCAGGAAACATAGCTTTCCTACAATCCTTTGCATCTTCTAATGAAAATAGTCTTTTTGCATAATGAAAGTCAATGAGTTGTAAGTTGATTTTTTTCTTTTCTGCAACATTATTAATCAATCTTTACATACATGTATACAACCCTCCTTTCACCTCAGGATCATCATTTCTAAAATTACGTTCATAGTGCAAATAGAGATTAAGGTAATAAGTTGTTGCATGCAAAGACCTATGAAGTTGATTCTGCCACCTCTCATCAATGATTTTCCAAACAGGTTCATAACTACAAAAATACCAATTGTGCCATATTAGAAGTTGATTATAAATTAAGTAATTAAATTCTAAATGAGATAAGGTTTAGAATTTTTAACTTTTTTAATATTATTGAAGTTATTCTTAATCTTCTCCTTTGCATAATCCATCTCCTCATATATGAAACCCATTGCGGGTTTTGTATCTGAATCCACCAATTGAAGGATCACCATAAGAGGGACAATAACTTTAAAGCATGTAGTTACATTCTTCCAAAAGCGATTATCTAATACCATGTATTTAACTTTTCTCCACTCCTGCGAGGTTTCAAACTTGCTTGTTTTCCACTCTTGAGAACTAAACATGTTCATCAATGATGTTTTCAATTCATGAAGACAAGCTAGAATCAAATAAGCTGTGTCAATTCAAGAAGATTCTTATTGTTATCTTAACATTTTGTTTGGATTTTCTTTATGTAGATTTGTTTAGGAGGACTTGTCTCTATTAGTGAACTTTCACGGATGATGAGATATTGCTGAACTGGTGTGAGCTGAATTATTAGGTCAAACCATGTTTTTTGACACTAAACAAAGATTAGTCAGTTTTGAAACTTCCTTAATTGCAGCCACCCCTAGTTTGCCTTAGTTGGCCCCTTTGGGGAGCTACCTTAATTGCAGCCATAACCTCAAGGGTGATGGTTTAGTCTGACAATGGCTAGATATCTGACAAATAGAGCTTATAAGGCTTGGTCAATCCATACCTTTCAAGCGGTTTTGTAGCAATTAGTTAGACCATAAACCCAAACTCTTAAATAGTAGTAGAGCCCATTCTAGATCCATTATTGGGGTACCTGCATTTTCCACCCTCCAGACTAGTAACTATACCTGGGGTGGGGAAAGCTTTCTTAATTGTGGTTATTCTTTGCTTGCCGTAATTAGTCTCTTTTGTGGCTGCATTAATAGAAGCCTCAAGCATGGTGGTTTAGTCTCAAATTGAGTAGATATATGAATGAAATTGAACTTATAAGGGTTGACAGTCTTTACTTTGAAAGCCTTTTTGTAGGTTGAGTGAGAATGATTATTATTGATTGTGAAACGAGCAACTTTTGATTACACAGCAAAAAATCTAGACTTTATCATGATTCTGACTGTCTACACTGTTCTCAAATTGTAAATTTTCTAACAATTTTGATAAATCCTGAAAGCAATTTATTGAAACCTACTTTTTCTTGTTTATATATGCTTGCTCGAAGGACTAGAGAATATCGTGGACAATTGGTTAGCTCATGGTTTTTGTTTCTCCTTTTTATTTTGTCATTGCTGGACTGGCATTAGTAGTCCTGGGGTACATTGGAGGCTACTAATAATTTTCTATTCTAACCTGGATTATATTTAAATAGAAATGTTTTTTGTTTTATTTTATTTCAAAATATTCCAATGTGTAAGAAAGTATTGCTACATGCAGATTGAAAGTCGTAGGAGATTTCGTATCATCCGTTCGGGGGATCAAGATGGGTGTGTTGTCTCTGGGTGTTATGTTTCACAAGTTCTTGCTGTTGATCTGGCCGTTTCTCTTTGATTCAAACATGGCCTTATTCCTTAATGTTTTATGCAGGTATCGCGTTGCAGAGGTTGAATGGATACAGGATGTTATGCCACCGGAAGGGACAACTGAAAGAGAGACTGTAAGTTCACACAAATTTTGGTATTATAAATGTGTTTGTAAGCTCACTGTCATGTAGATAGCATTTAGAAGTCTAAAATAACAATTCATTTTAATCATTAGATTATAAGAAAATGAATGATGAGGAAGAAGAGTAATTGTTGAATTCTTACTCTTAGAGTGAGTGAATTCCTTTTCATATATATATATATATATATGTGTGTGTGTGTGTATATAAAGCTTGAGGTGAATAGACTTCATAGTAGAGGTGGATCTTGATAATGATTTTGGTGGAGCCAGTAACATTATTAATAAATAATAACTGAATATGAAAATGTGAAAGGATATGGAAAGTTAGAGGCAAAATTGTAAATGTATATATAAGTTATAAAATTTTGGGAGGCTATGACTTCCTTTGTCTTCCAAGAAACTCTGCCACTGCTTTATTGGATACATGGTGGGTAATACTACTCCTGTTAATAGAATGGTGAGTTTAACAGTTCAAGTAAAGAATGCTGTTACAAGTTATTAGGATGAAATGTTGGGTATTAGAAATTTACTTTAATTAATGGATTGTTTATAATTTGATTGACCTCGGGTTTGCTACAACAAGTGGTTTTATTTCTATTTTGACCAAAATGAGAAATCATGGAACCTTGAATAATGAGAGCTATTTCCTTTTTTTGGGTGTACAATGGAGGTAATTGGGTTTGAACTTAAGATAAAGCAAACTACCTAAATCCTCCACCATCAGGCTGACTATAGTGGTTGGAATAAAGAGATCTTCGATTCTGTCACAAAATTTATATTTCTTGATGCATTATTTTTAAATGTTAAGGTTAGCCATAAGTCTGATGACTTTATATTGAATGCATTAATACTGTAACAAATGGATCCATCTTTCTATGTAATAACTTGTTATGTGGTCACAGTTACAGGAATTGACATATAATGCAGCCGAAAGTGCTCGATCATGGATAGGAAGAGCTAAAGAAGCAGCAGGACATGGTATTTTCTAAACCATAATTATATGATGTTCACCCAGGACTCCTTTGTACTTTGGTTATTATGAAAACTGGTCATCACCCTTTTGACAAAATTTGGGGTGGGGGGCGGAATGCTTAACAATTATTTCCTGCATTATAACAGAATCTGTTAATTCTGACGATGCTATAGTTTTTGTTATCCTATTTTACTGAATGGGAGTGACCTTATTTTTCCTCTTTGCACCTTTACAAATAACAATGGACTGATACTAAACTACTGAAATATGACAAAGATCAAAGAAAACTTGAGAGACTCGCCAGTGTTGAAGTAATGATGCCTTCATTAAAAGACCCCGAGCGCTTTAGTTTTTGGGTAACTACTTGACATCTCTTTTTTTTCTTTGTCGGTCAGAGCATCACCTTTTACTATTTTTATTGCTTCGTACTAATTTAGTCTTTGATTGCAGCTGGCTACCCTCTCCAACAGGAGGCCTGCGGAAAGATTAGATCTCCTACGCATCAGAGATACAACCGAGGTATTAGTCCATTTTTAACATATAAGAATAAATGTGAGGGGGATTGTTGAATTTGATCTTCTTTAATGCATTTTATTCAGTAGCTTAATTCTATGGTTCTGAATTGCAGTTCCATTTGTATACATTTATTGTTTGTTACCATATAAAAAACATCTTTTGATCCTTTCCTTTGTAGAGGATTAGACGGGGCCTGATATTTCTACGACAAGAGGAACAAGGCTGTAGAATTCAGTAAGACAAGCTTTGAAGTGCTACCATTATTATTGCAATTGATATTTGTTTATTGTAAATGAACATTTGTTTATTGCAAATGAACATTTGTTTATTGCAAATGAACATTTGTGTATTGCAAATTTATTTAAGAGTCACACAAAATTCTTCGGCCTCGTAAATAACTGTTTAATGAGGTCATTTTTGTTGTAACATAGGGTTGAACCCAGTTTTTCTAATATATATAATTAATGCTCTACAGCACATCTTTTATTGCGCATCTGGTTTTTGCACATGGTTGAGTTATTTATGTACTACAAAGCATGATTTACCACCCCATCCTAAATCACAAAATACCATTAACTTTAATGGGGGTTTCACTGTCTTCTATATCGCCTTTCTTTACTAATATTTCGATCTTCTATATTACCATTAAATTTTCACCCACGGTCTTAAAACTTTCATGAGAAGAATTGCAAGCTGTAATTGATGAGGAGGCAGTATTTAGAATGATTGGGTGTTGGTCTTGTTAAGTTGGTTGGCCTACAGCATTTGCAGACTGAAACAAAAGGTGATATGGGCGACATACTGTTATATTAGGGACTGAGTGTTCTTGTGTGCTTTATCCACTTCCATTTTACTCATTGCTGTTTTTCCTGTCCTTCATTCGTACCAACCCCACAGCTCTTGCAACAAACACTATTCATGTCGATGTTAACAAAATTAGAACTACCAGTTCAATTGTTCTGATAGATAGCGATCTAAAATGGATTTTTGATTTTTTTTTAAACGAGATTTTTTTTTTACCGTAAAAATATTTATTTTCATTTGGCTCACATAATGACCCTAGATAATAATTTTTTCTTATTTTTAAGTTTTTTTTCTTTATAAAATTAATCTTATTCTATGTTAATGTCAACTTTTCATCTTTCACCCTTATTTGATTACATATGATTTTTATTGTAATTTTAATGATGATAATGATGGTTTTTATTATGATTATAATTTTTTTCTTATAAAAAACTTATAATTACTGATCTTTAATATATAAGTATATTATTAGAAAAAAATAGTTTATTCAATTTAATTTAATCTCGATTAAACTTAATTTTATATAATCTTATAATCCTTTATATATATATATATATATATATATATATATATATATATATTATTATTTTAGAAAGTAATTTAAATAATTGTAATGAGTGGAATTAGGGATTTGTTAGCAAAGTTAATTTTTTATTATTTTTTTGAGAAAAAATAAATAGAAATTAGTAGTTAATTGGGGGATAAACATAATTGAACTGGGAATCAAGAATTATAAAGATACATTTGTGTAAATTCTAGAGGTTAATTAGGAGAAATTTAGAGTTGTTCGTCTCTTGCTCTTGAGAGCTAAGGTGGGTGCAATAGTAATTGGGTCTTTTATTCTCAATTATTACAAATTGGTACTAGTTTTACTAGGGGATGATGGTAAGTGTAAAGGAGCTTGAAACTTGCATGGATTCTTATGAGAATAACCTTTTTGATCATAAAGAAACAATACAACAATCACTCGAAACAGTATAGAAATTTATTGAAAGGTTTACGACGGGTATAATAACTTTATATCCTATCAAGGAAGTCACACAAGAAGAAGAACCTCACGATGAATAGTTCAAAATAGTTCTTTCAATAGTTAAACAGACATAAATCTCAATTCCTACTTTTGATGACTCCAAGTTTCATGATTGGGAAGTGAAGGCAGAACTATTTTTTGAACTGGAGGGAACCCTCCAAGAATAACAAAACCGTTTATTATTATTATCTATAGCAAGGATTTTACGTGGCAAAGACATTACATGCACAACACCAATAATAAAGAAAAATATTGGCAACAAATCCTTCAAGATACAAGGAGCATATTTGATAGGGTGCATTTGATGATTTAGTCACTGAACTTTAAAGGTTGAAACAAGAAAGGACTTTACTTGACTATCTTGAAAAGTATGACACATTACTAGCTTGGGTGGTTATAAATGGAGAATTGACCTTAGGTTTCTTTCTTTCTAGTTTAACTATTGAGTTAGAAAAATTAGGAAGAGTTCATATACCAACATCCATTCAAGAGGCAATTCGAATTGCAAGATTACAAGATAAGGTGCTTCAAGAAATGACAAATAAATTTTCATCCAAAAAATCAGTAAATTTTGAATCACAAGTGAAATATACAAGATCATGTTCCTTTACTTCTTTCAACAATAGAAGTTATTTAATTACTACTTTACATCAAAATCAAAATCAAAATCAACGTTCTACAACTTCAACACAAATGGAAAATTCAAAAGAATCAACTACAAACTCTATCTTTAGAAAACAAATTAGTGAAAGGATTCCAAAGGGTTTATGTCGATTTTGTGGTGATAAATGGGATAAAGATCATAAACAAAAGTGTAAGGTGTAAGATAAGTTAAATGTCATTTTTAGTGCACAAGAACAAATGATTATGGCACTAACATCAAAGTCAGATGCAAAGCAAGATACTGAATTAATAAAGCACAATTTAAATTTAATTAGGGATGCAAACATTCACATATCCATTAATTCTTTACAAGGTGTGGCTGGTTGTAACACTCTTCAAATGAAAGGGTTGATTAAGAAACAAAATGTGTCATTTTTAATGGATAGAGGAAGTAGACACACTTTTATAAGTGCCATTGGGTTAAGACAATTGAGCCAAAGTATAAGAAACTTTCCTGTAATGGTTGCATCAGATAAAGAGTTAGTCATCACTAGAACTTGTACTCAAGTCGAATGGAAATTTAATGATCATATTTTTCAAGCTGGCTTTTTAGTGTTACCTAGCAACAGTTTTGGTGTAATCCTTGGAATACAATGGTTTAAAACACCATAAGAGATTAGCTGGAACTATGACCAACTGACAATGAAATTTGAACACAATGGAAAACTAGTTTGTCTACAAGGTGAACATCCTTCAAATGATATTTGTGAACTAATAGGTAAGTTTAAGCCAACTCAATGTCATGCCATGTTACTAGTCTTATAAGGACCATTCTGCTACAATGATTCAGTAGATGAAGATCTTCACAAATTACCCTATAACTAACAGTTTGAATTGATGCAACTATTAGAGAACTATCAACAATTATTCAAGGAGACCATAACTTGTTGGAAAAAATACACAAAACTTTCTCATGTAGTCAGATCTGTGAAAGTGAAATAAAAACGAAATAAAGACGGAATAATTGGACACACCAATTGATAACGGAGTTCGGCCAAAATTGCCTACGTCTCTGGACTACTGTAGATATTTTACTGGGAGAAAAGAAAATACACAGGTGTTTACAAAACACTCTAAAAAACACTCGCAACCCTCAATCCAATTACACCCAGAAGCTAGATTATTTTCTTTCTGCTTCTTACTGGCTAACTCTTGTAATGGTTGTTTGGGAATTGGATGATCCAAATGAGTGAAGTGAAAGAGCATTTTATAGCAAAAAATGGTTCTTGTGCATTTAAGGCTTTCCGTGTTTTCTTGTCTCCAACCACTTGCCAACCAACCACTTGCCACCTTTTTTTTTTTTTTACTTTTCAAACACCAACAATCTCCCACTTGAGCACTAATTTCAATATGTCCTCACACCTTGATTAATGCAGTAGTCTTATCTGGTCTGCTACTCTTGCAAGCCAACTGAAGTTGAGCACAACTTCAGTTTGTTAATGGTCACCACCTTCGTTAGCATATCTGTTGAGTTCTTGCTTCCTACAATCTTCTTCAATGTTAACACCCCATCCTCAAGTAGAGATCTGATGAAATGATAACGAATATCAATGTGCTTGGTTCTAGAGTGAAATGCTGAATTCTTTGCCAAATGTATTGCACTCTGACTATCACTATGCAAAACACTCCCTTCTTGAGTGAATCCCAACTCTGCTAACAGTCCTTGAAGTCATATCAATTATTTACTAGCTTCTGTCACTGCTACATACTCAGCCTCTGTAGTGGATAAAGCAACAATTTTTTGTATCTGCGACATCCAACTAACAGCTGTAGTACCAACCGTGAAAACATAATCGGTGGTGCTTCTTCGGTGATCAACTTCACCTCCAAAGTCTGCATTTACGTAGCCCTGAAATCTTAGATTTCCTTTTCCAAAACATAGACATTTTTCTGTTGTTCCTCGTAGATATCTCAGAATCCACTTGACGGCTTCCCAGTGAGCCTTTCCTGGATTTTCCATAAACCTGCTCACAACTCCCACTGCATGGCCAATGTCTGGCCTTGTACAGACCATTGCGTACATCAAACTTCCAATGGCTGAAGCATACAGAACCTTAGCCATAATTTCTTCTTCTTCCTTTGTTTGAGGAGATTGATCCTTGGATAGACGAAAATGAATGGCCAAAGGTGTACTGACTGGTTTGGCCTTGTCCATGTTAAATCTTTGCAAAACACGGTTGATGTATCCTCTTGAGATAACTGCAAAACTCCTTTTTGCTTATCTCTCGTGATTTGCATTCCAAGAATCTTCTTTGTTGGTCCTAAGTCCTTCATGTCAAATTCCTTTGACAACTGCATCTTTAAATTTCTGATGTCCCTCATATTTGAACCTGTTACTAACATGTCATCAACATAAAGTAGCAATATGATATAGCTAGACTTATACCTCTTGAAGAAACAACAGTGATCGACATTGCACTTCTGGAAACCTTGTGCATGAAGCTTTCATACTTTCTGTACCACTGTCTTGGAGCTTGTTTCAGACTGTACAAGCTCTTCTTCAATTTGCACACCATATCCTTCTTTCCTTCTGAAAATACTTCAAGCTGGTGCATGTAGATCTCCTCATCTAAGTCTCCGTGGAGAAATGCAGTTTTCACATCTAATTGCTCTAGGTAGCGCTCTTCACTAGCCACAATACTTAACACTGTTATGATAGTATTGAGCTTTACGACTGGAGCAAAGATTTCAGTGTAGTCAACTCCTTCTTTCTGTTGAAATCCTTTGACAACTAGTCAGGCTTTGTATCTCTTGGAACCGTCATGGTCTTCCTTCCCCCGATACACCCATTTGTTGTGAAGTGCTTTCTTCCCTATAGGTAACTTGACTAGTTCCCATGTCTGATTGGAGATCAGAGACTTCATCTCTTCTTTCACGACAAACTCCCACTTGCTAGCATCTGTGGTTTGACAAGCTTCTATATAATCTTCGGGCTCTCCTCCATCAGTCAGCAACATGTAGTCCATGTATCTCCTGTTTGGCTCATGAGGTCTAGAGGACCTTCTCAATACAGGAGTTGGAGTAAGAGGTTCTGGTTGCACATCACCTTCTTCAATTGATTCCTCTGACTGAAGACTCCTCACTATAGGATTTTCTGGGACATCTTCCACTTCTGCAAAAACTGGCCCACTCGATTCTGAATTGCTAATACATGTTTTATGCATGTCCTTGTACAACACTCTTTCATTGAAGATTACATCTCTGCTGCGAATCATCTTTTTGTTTTCATCATCCCATATGCGGTAGCCACACTCATCTTCACCATAACCAATGAAAGTGCACTTCTTTGATTTTGGGTTAAGTTTGTTTCTACCTT